AATCATATAATATATAAGTTAAGTGAATTAAAATATGAAAAAAATTATTTTTCATTATAAAAAAAAAATCTAAACCATTGCAGTGCCAACAGATAACAAAATATATAGAATAAATTCAATTCAAACTAAATTAAATTTAAAACAGCCAATTTTAAATGCAGAAATTTAGTACAAAATTAATTTAACATAATACAATAAATAATTTAGGACAATAGAGAACCCACTTCCAAATATAAGTCGAAAACATACATAAATGATCCATATTCTTCCCCCTGTTTTTTTTCAGGTTCTTTTTTGAACTATTCTCTCAACGTTCTGTATTTAGTTCCAAAACCAAAATGACTCATCAACAACCAAACAAACGTGAGAAGTTCTCCACCCTTACTTAGTTGATCTCCATGGACATTCGGCCTGCATTTAATAGCAGCATAGCACATCAATTGTACCCAAACTTTGCCCATTCCCTCCCATGGATAACCATCCTCCCGTTCGAGCCCACGGGCAACCTCAACTGCTTCAGATATTAACTTCATTTCTGCATCGTCTTCTTCTTCTTCTATTTTTACTTTTACTTCCTGGGACCCGAACAAGATCTTTTTAGCAAAACTCCTTTCATTTGAGAAAAACTTCCAGGGTACTATTGACCTGGTCTGTTTAGATGTTCTTTTAAACTCATCTTTCCAATTGTCCAATACCCCGGCCATCATGGTGGGCTGCATCTCTGCAAGGTAAAGCATATAATCTGAAAGTAGTTTGCATATTGATCTGTAAGTATCAGTTGTCCCATGCCTGCGGTTGGCGGTGTTTCGGAAGCATAATTCAGTGGCTATGTGCCACACCAGGAGAGTTTGTGTAATCCTACTTTCCAATTAAATTCTTGATCAACTCCTGCTGCTTCTGATTCATGACTGGCTCAAGAAGTTTTTCAAATTCTTTTTCTGACAACCAAACTTCTTTCTCCTCTTTGTTTTTGTAACAGTACCTGCAGTCAAATTTCATCTTTATTTCCCTCAAAATGAAACTCCAGAGTGAGTCCTCGAAAAGTTGGAAGGATTGACAACGGAAATTATTAATGACTTTGGACAACAAAGTCCCTACGGAAGGAAGATCATCCAGTTTTCCCACGGACAGGCACCCAATTTTTTCCTAATTTCTCAAAGCTTGCACGGTTAAGAGCAAGGGTCCGCCCAAAGGATTGATTATGCCCGCAAGTAACACTAGGATGGTTGCAAGCCAAAGCTCGTTATTTGGTGAGGACTTAAAGAAGGCGTAGATTGTAGAAAAAACCTGCGACAAGAACGCAAGAAAGTGCCTTTGCCACAACGCATTATCTTGTTGAGAATAAGAGGTAATGGCGTCGGGACGACCAAGGTGCACCAAGAGAAAGGGTGTCCAAAAGGCAATGATGTCAATAGGAGGGCAGCTTGACTTGGGACTGTTGCTGTGTAAAATGAGTCACATGCTAGATGTAGCAACCTAGTTTGTGAGAAAATACACGAACCAAATCAACCCAATGATCCATTTCCCCCGGCCACTTTGAACTTTTCTTTTTGGTGCCAACAGATTTAAGATGACCTGCAGAGAGAGGCTTACATGTTCAAATTTTTTATCAAAGAAAATGGAGAGAATTTCAGGAGAAGAAGATGAAGAGCAGAACACATAAAATAGAGAGGAGTATATCACTCCAACTCAAATTTTCTCATTACAATTTCTCCTATTTATAGGAGAATACATACTCAATTCAAAATTCAAATCTAAGCAATTATTCTACATTTAAAAAACAATAAAAGTACACTTTAAATTTGAAAATAACAGTCACTTTTGCTGCATGCTTGCGTCCTTTGGCAGCTCTGCAGCATGCTTGGTCCCTTCGTTTCATTTGCATTTGCATTTCATTTGCTACTCATTTGGAGCTTCATTTCATCAACATTTGCAGCTTAGCTTGGTGCACGTTTTTTCTGTCATTTGACAGCTTCATTTTCATCAGATTTGCAACTAAATTGCTGCCATATGTGCTGTCAAATTGCAACTTCATTTGTTGTCAATTTCCAGCCTCATTGCTGCCATTTCATGGCAGTTTCATTTAATCATTTCTGCAGATTTGAATGCCACGTTTCTAGCAATAATTCCAACATTACAATCACTAATCCCCTAATACTCCATGCATTCCACAGCTTCTGAGCTCTTTCAGTAAGAGACAGTGCCACTGCAATCGTTTTGTTTCCCCAGACAATTTCTCTGGGACCTTTATTCTGATGTGAGGTTTCATGGTGTAAAGAAAAGGAGGCAGATACTACAGTAAATATTGACTTAATAAACTACCATATATGATTATTCCAACCAATAATGCTTTCAAATCACAGAGCAGGAAAAAGACACGCCAAAAGGTTATATATAATCCTTCCTATACTAATGCATTTAAATAAATACAAAACAAACAAGATCAATAAATAAATAAATATAAAAGAAAAGAAATGGATAATATATACGACAAATTTACAAAAGGGTATATATAATCCTTCCATTTGGATTTTTTCTGTGCATATCGTTTCGAAATTTCTGTGCATTTTACAGAAATTGAAGAAACTAATTAATGGACTGTTTGGAATTAAATTTTTTTTTTTTTCAACTTTCTTTAGATGGACGGTTTTGGGTGGGGGAAGGGTTTCTTTAATAATCACAGAAGTTTGGTGTCCCCTTTTTTCTTTTCTTTATTTGGCGGTAAAGGTTGGAACAGCTTTCGTGCAATCCGTGATTTGTTGAGGATTTGAAGGGAGAAAGGCAGCTGTCAAACACAATTTCAAGGCTCCCCCACATTGACTATGTGTATGATGACTTAGGACGGGAAACATTAGGTAGGTAAGTTGTGGGTATAAGATCAATTAGTAAACACTGATTCAAGTCAACATAAAATCCAAGAGATAGCCTTGAGAAACATGTAAAAGACGAAGAAAATAATATAAACTGAATTAGAGATAATGTTTAAATTTTTTTTCCATTGATTTTTCATAGATTTTTTTTTATCAATTTTGATATGTTTTTATATAAAATAACACCAATTATGTATAATGTTTATCTAATATAATTAAATAATAATATAAACTTCATAAAATAAGGAAAAGGGTAAATGGATATAATAAAGCCAAACTATACATTTAGTTGAAACGCTCAACATCAAGATATACAAAGATTATATTGGAAAAACAACAAAAATACTTTTCATCAACATAATTGAAATTGAATTGGAAATGAACAGTGCATATAAACAGTAACCTTGCTGCACTGTTTCATTTTATCTTCAACAGTGGGTATCCTTGCAGGTTCTTTTGCCTGCTCAAACGG